ATATATATATACTGCAGTCTAGATCTTTAATGTATGCATAATTTATTTAATCTTTGTACCACCCCCTTGACATAAGTATTATTATTATCATGCCATATCTCATCTCATTCAGATGAATATCTGATACCCAGAAAGGTTAAATAATCTAGTAAATGGCATAGTGAGGGTTTGGATCTAGGAATCTGATTTTAGAGTCCAAGCTCTTATTTATTATGCTATCCTCCTTCTCAGTGTGTAGAATATTAACCCAAAGGGTGTAGAGAAATCCCCAAATTTGCACTTAGAATTTGTAATTCAAACCTAGTTTATCGTTTTTATACTTTGACATTGTAATTCAAACCCAGGTAGTCTGACTCCAGAGCCCACATGATTCTCCCAGCCTTGCCCAGACAGTTCACTACAGAGTCTCCATTCTTCTCTAGTACTAGGGCTGCTGGGCCCACTGGAGCACGGGATAGTGGCAAGAGATTGGAACTGAAATTTAGGAAGCTTGTATCCTAGGGTCTTTCACTGATTCGCTGTATGACAGATTTGGGGAACCTTTTTCTGCCCAAATTTATGATGTCATTCACGGGCTATACAAAATTATTGACTTAAAAATTAGTCTGTTGTATTTGGTCAAACATTTAATTATTGGAGCTCTGGTAGCGTAGTGGTTACGAATCGGGCTGCAAACCTTAAGGTCAGCGGTTTGAGACTACCAGTCGCTCTGCGGGAGAAAGATGAAGCTTTCTGCTTCCTTAAAGATTATAGCCTCGGAAACCCTGTACAGGGTCGCTATGAGTCAGAACCGACTCCACGGCACACACACACACACACACCCCCAATGTGATGGTGTAGCGCTGCAGAATAATGTGCTGGACTGCAAGGTTGACGATTTAAACCCACCAGTCAGCCACTCCTTGGAAAGCCAATACAAGGTTGCTATGGGTCGGAACCTACTCAACGGCACTTAAACAACAACAATGTGATGGCTGGAACTGTGGTTGCCTTGGCAAGGCCAGATCAAATGACTTTGCTATAAGTCCTACTGGCTGGATGTTTCCACCCCTGCTCTATGACAATTAGCAAGCTTGTTGGACTTCTCTTTCCTCTGAGTTCCTTTCTAGTTTTAAAGTTTTGAATTCTGACTTTTGGCCTGACTTGAGACCCAGACCTCCCATCTGAAAGGCTTGGTAGTAGTATAAAACACTGTCCTGTTCTGTGCCATCCTCTTAATTGTTATGATTGAGCCCGCTGTTAGAGCCACTGTATCAATTCATCTTATTGAGGGTCCTCCTGTTTTTACTTCTTCCAAACAGCATATTTTAAGTACGTTCCAACCTGAAGGCTCATCTTCGGACACTGTATCAAGCAATGCTCCACTGCTAGGCAGTCATAAGGTTTTCAGTGGCTCATTTTTCAGAAGTGGACCATCTCTTTCCTCTTCCTAGTCTATCTCAGTCTGGAAGCTCTGCTGAAACCTGTCTACCAGGAATGATCCTGCTGGTATTTGAAATACCAGTGGTATAGCTTCCAGTATCATAGCAACATGCAAGCCACCACAACAGAATGACAAATTGTTTATATTGTGATATTATTAATATGAAGGAATTATGTTAAGCACTTTATTCTACAACTAGATCTGCATATTTGCCTATTATGTTCTAATGTATTAGTATGTTCAATTTAGGTTGTTTGCCTGTGCCATTGTTTAATCAGAAAAAGAGGAACAGACAGCCATTAACTTCTAATCCACTTAAAAATGATCCCGGTATCAGTACTGCTTCTGATAGTTATGATTTCCCTCCTTTACCAACAGGTAAGAAAATGAATAATGTGAAAATTTTCAGAAAGTAAGAACTAGGATTATAGAAAATCACCATTTTACTTTTACTATAATGAAAAGCCCTAGTGGCGCTGTAGGATCAATGCTGGACTGCTGACCACAAGGTTGGCAGCTCAAACGTACAAGCTGCACCTTGGCAGAAAGATGAGGCTTTCAGCACCCGTAAAGATTTACAGCCTCGGAAACCCCATCGCTGTTTATCAGAAGTGACTTGATGGCTGTGGTATAATGAAAAAAGAAAGTGTATGTTACAATTCTCTCCCTCCAGACCCCTACTATCCAAATATAGAGATTACTTGGCTCTTTTTTAACATTCCAGTACAAATCTTTGAGTTTCCTTGTTTACAACGTTGGCTTGGAATTTAAATGGAGTATGTTATATCTGGGGAGTCCTGGTGTGGCACTGTGGGTTAATGCGCCAGACTGCAAAGCTTTTTGAACTGCAAGGTTGGCAGTTCAAGCTCACTAGCTGCTCCTCGGAAGCCGTATACAGGGTCGCTGTGGGTCGGAACTGACTCACAGTTAAGTACCGTGGAGTCAGTTCCGACTCATAGCGACCCTGTACAGGATTTCCGAGGCTGTAAATCTTTAGGGAAGCAGAAAGCCTCATCTTTCTCCCACAGAACCCCTGGTAGTTTCGAACTGCTGACCTTGCAGATGGCAGCCTGAGTCATAACCACTATGCTACCAGAGCTCTAGGATAGGGTAGAATTTTCCATAGAATTTTTATGACTATAAACTTTATAAAATCAGAATGCCGCATCTTTTTACTGAGGAGTGACTGGTGGTTTTGAAATGTCAACCTTTCGGTTAGCACCCAAGTATTTAACCACTGCATCACCAACACTTCTCAGAAAAGAATTAGAGTATAACAGAATCTGAACATCAGAGTGTATCACAGATGATAAGGATAAGAATTGATGGGGAAATTTTTCTATATTCTCTTCTCTCCCACTATACACACACACACACATACATACACACACACATACACACAACACACTCCATACATAATGTTCTGGGTTATGATGATTTTTTTTTTTTTTTTGCTATAAATTGGGATAAAAAATGTTTGAGAAACATTGGCTAGACAGAGTTCATGTTACTGTATTGAATGAAAAAGATAACTAATTAAACTATTATTTTCTTAAAATGTAATGGGAAAGACAGATATTTAGAAAAATAATAAAACATGCAGTGACAAAGTGCTGCTAAAGAACAAATCTAAATCTTCAATTTTTCTTCAAATTTTTGAGCCTCCAAATTAAATAAGTTTGAAATGATTATTTTGAAAAATGCTGTCTCCCTTAGTTTTATTTATACTACTTATATCTTTTAAGATTGGGCCTGGGAAACTATGAATCCAGAGTTGCCTCCTTTATCGAAAACAATGAACACAGGGTATGTTGAAATTTATAAACCAACAAATGCATGCCTGTTACTGACTGATGCTATTATTATGTGTATATTTTACATTTTTTCAATTTGGAACCAAACTGTTAATAAATAACAAGGCATATTTTTTTTTGAAGGCAAATGCCACATTCAGTTTCTCGTCCACTAAGAAGCCAAGATCCCACGTCTAAATTGATTCAGTCAGATATTGAAAGAAATCAGTGTGGTTGGAGGTGAGTAAAGTTTCTCTTTCTTCTATTTCTTCTTATCCTTCCCCTGTCCTTTCCTGCCCATCTCTCTAACTTTAGCACCTCTTCCTTTCTTAAAAAGAATTACATTTAGGAAATTTCTATACTTAATAACTAATTACATCAGTATTAGCTGTATTTCATAAAGGAAGTTAAGTGAACATGCTATATAAACTTTAAAACAGGTAAAGTTGGCAGTGATTATGATTTCCAAGAATTCTTCATGTTGTAATGAAATTTTTGTAAATATTTGTAACAGTTAATTTATTATTTTATTTATGGGTCACTAATCATTTTACTGACAATACATGAGTCAAGAATCACTATATATTGATGTTTGTTGCATTTAGAAATAATAAATAGAATACTCATTCTCACCTCAGTAGAATAGTTGGCTCCTAGGAAAATGGAACAGACTAAGAAAGAAAGAGTCCTGGTGTGGCGCTGTGGGTTAATGTGCTAGATTGGAAGTTCGCTTTGAACTGTAAGGTCAGTGGTTCAAGCTCACCAGCTGCTCCTCAGAAACACCCTATACAGGGTCGTTATGAGTTGGAACCAACTCGACAGTACTTAACAACAACAACAACAACAAGAAAGAAAGATGGAGGCTGAGATGGATCTGCATCTGCCATGTTAGGGGCTTAAGAATTGAAGAGGACCATTGCCCTGGGATCTAAGCTTAATATAAAAAAATATTTTAAAAATGAATACATGGAAAAAAGGACATGGTTGTTTTTAGATTAGTTTTAGTGTACTTGGATTACTGTTATTATTAAGTGCCATTGAGTCAGTTCTGACTCATTGCAACCCGTATAGTGTTCCCAAAGCTGTAAAGTTTTGCAGGAATAGAAAGCCTCACCTTTCTTCTGCAGCAAGTGCAAACTGCCAGCCTTGTGGTTTTCAGGCCAGTGTTTATTCTACAGAGCCACCAAGCTCCCTTATACTTGGATAAGTGACAACTATTGAAATAAATAATTTTAGGAAGAATTTCCTACCAAAAGCTATCATATATTCACTGTTACAATCTTAAATAGTCTTGTGGAGTTAATATTACCCACGCTTTAATAAAAGATAATTGTATTTTTCTAAAAACAGGAGACTTTTGATATAATCATTGATGTTAAGTCAATTCCAACTCATAATGACCCCATAGGAGACAGCAGAACTGCCTCAGAGATTCCAAGCCTATAAATCTTTACAGAAGTAAACTCCATATAGGAGTTTTCTCCTGTCTTTGTCCTGTGGAGTGAGTGACTGGTGGGTTTGAATGATTGACATTTTGATTAGCATCCTTTATTAGTGTAGCGCTTTAACCACGGCACCACCAGGACCCATACTTTTTACATTGTTGCTAAGTGCTGTTGAGTTGGTTCTGACCCCTAGTGACCCCATGCACAACAGACTGAAACACTACCTGGTTCTGCGTTATCCTCACAAACATGGTTAAGACCGAACCCGTTGCTACTGCCACTGTATCAATCCATCTCTTTCAAATGCATCAGTTCTTCTACAGTCTTCTTTATTCATTGTCCAACTTCCACATGCATCTGAGGCGATTGAAAATACCATGGTTTGGGTCAGTCACACCTTCGTCCTCAAACTGATGATAATCTTTGCTCTTGAACACTTTAAAGAGGTCTTCTGTAGCAGATTTGCCTAATGCAATGCGTCTTTTGATTTCTTGGCTGCTGCTTCCATGAGCGTTGATTATGGATCCAAGCAAAAATGAAGTCTTTGACAACGTCAATCTTTTCTCTATCCTGATATTATTTATTGGTCCAATTGTGAAGAATTTTGTTTTCTTTACATTGAGGTGCCATCTATACTGAAGGCTGTGGTCTAAGTCCTCTTTGCTTCCAAAGAATAGCACGATTGTATCATTTGAATATTGGCAGGTTGTCAATGAGTTTTCCTCCAATCCTGATGCCACGTTATTCTTCATGTTATCCAGTTTCTTGGATTATTTGCTTAGAATCCTGGTGTGGTGCTGTGGATTAATGCACTGTACTGCAAGGCCAGTTTGAACTGCAAAGTCAGCGGCTCAAGCTCACCAGCCGCTCCTTGGAAACCCTATACAGGGTTGCTATGAGTCAGAACCGACTCAATGGCATTTAACAACAACAACATACAGATTGAGTAAGTATGGTAAAAGAATACAACCCTGACATACACCTTTTCTGATTTTAAACTATTCAGTATCCCATGTTCTGTTCTAACAACTGCCTCTTGGTCAATGTAGATTCCTCATGAGTACAATTAAGTGTTCTGGAATACCCATTCTTTGTAATGTTTGTCATGATCCACACAGTGGAATAAAGCACAAGTAAACCAGCCTTCTGGTATCCTCTGCTTTCAGCAAGATCCATCTGATATCACACCTGATATTCCTAATACCACATCCTCTTCTGAATCTGGCTTGAACCTTTTTGAATTATTGTAAACAAAATTTTACTAGCATGTGATATTAATGATATTATTCTATGAGTGCCACATTCCATTTGGTCACCTCTCTTTGGAATGGGTACAAATATGGATCTTTTCGATTTCTTGGCATAGATAAGTGAGTGCTTTCAGGGCAGCATATGTTTGTTGAAAGATTTTAATTTGTACTCCATCAATTCCTGGATCCTTTTTTTTTTTTTTACCAGTGCCTTCAGTACAGCTTGTACTTCTTCCTTCAGTACTATCAATTCGTGATCGATCATATGCTGCCTCTTGAAATGGTGAAACACTGACCCATTTCTTTTTGACACAGTGACTCTTACATTCCTTCTATCATCTTTGGATACTTTCTGCATCATTCAGTATTTTGTCTTTAGAATCCTTCATTATTTCAAGTTGAGACTTGAACTTTTTCTTCAGTTCTTTCATCTTGAGAAATGTTGAGCATGTTCTTCCCTTTCTGATTTCTAACTCCAGGTCTTTGCACATTTCTATATAATACTTTACTTTGCCTTCTTGAACTGCTTTTTTACTTTTCTCTTCAGCTCTTCCAAATTTCCTCCATTTGCTTTAGCTTCTGTATGCTTAAAAACAAGTTACAGAATGTCTTCTGACATTCATTTTTATCTTTTCTTTCCTGTCTTTTAATGACTTTTTGCTTTCTTTCTTTATGTATGCCATTCCATAGTTCTTCTGGTCGTAGGTAATTAGTGTCTAGGGCATCAAATCTGTTTTTGAGATGGTCTCTAAATTCAGGTGGAATATGTTCAAGGTCATATTTTGGCTCTTGTGGAATTGTTTTAATTTCTTCAGCTTCATCCTGAATTTGCATATGGTCTGTTCCACAGTTGGTCCCTAACCTTTTGGCTGATGATACTGAGTTTTTTTCACTGTCTCTTCCCATGGATGTAGTCAGTTTGACTCCTGTGTGTTTTATCTGGTGAGGTCCATTATATGTTAGGTACCATTGAGTCGGTTCTGACTCAGCGACCCTATGCACAACTGAACAAAATGTGCCTGATCCTGCACCATCTGCACAATTGATGTTGCATTACTATCATTGAAGTGCTCTTGGGGAGGGTAGGTCAACAGTTGGAGGGGTGAGGGTCACCAGCATGGTGTTATGTATAGCCCATGACTGTATAAAGAAGAAAGTTGTTTATATTTGCACTGATCTAGAGAGAACTTTTAATGCATCTTAAAATAGAAAAATCGATCCATTTTGCCTTTTTTAAGTCATGTTTTTATCTGAAAAAAAAAAAAAGTGAACTAGATGTTATCTAAACTCCCTTCAGTGCTAAGCATGTATAGTGGATAAGACATACTAATCTGTTTTTTTTTTGTGTGTGTGTGTGTGATGAATGTCAAGACATGGGTTATCTTTATTTATTTAGAAATGTTTTATTGTGAGTTAAGTGAAAGTTTGTAGAGAAGATCATCAGTTTTACAATCAACAAAACCATACACCTTTTTCATCTCAATGATTACAATCCTCTCCACTAACAACAGTTATCCCACTTCCTCCCCTTGTTTCTTTATCTCCATTCCAACCTCCTTCCCATCCCTTTTCAACTCTGTCCTTAAGAAAATGTGCCTTTTTGATCCTGAGTGGTTGACCATTGCATGGTGACATACCTTATTCATGCTGTTGTCGTCCGATAAACTATTTACAGTCTGGTTGAAAATTGGGCTATGAGAGTGACTTCTATTCCAGACCTGACGAGTGGCCAAGAATCATAGTTTCAGGTTCCTCCAGTCTCTTTCTGATCAGTAAATCCAGTCTTTTTTTTAATTAAAAAAAAACAAACCCATTTACAGTTCCAGAAACCTGAATGAGCAGCTCTACTCTGCCCCATAAGGGTCCTGTGAGTCAGAACTGACTTGATATCAGTGGGTTTGGTTTGGGCTTGGTGGTCTTGATGAAAGCAGATGGCTGGCTCTTTTGTCTCGAGGAGCAGCTGAGGGATTCCAGTTGCCAACCTTTGGATTAGCAGCCTGCACTGGGGCCACTGCGCCCGCCAGTTCCTTCCTGTGGCCTCAGGGAAGTGCTTGGCAAGGAGAAGAGTAGGGTCACATTTCCACTGCAGCTGTTAGCAAAGAACTCAGGATGCAGTATTGACAAGATAGCCAAACGTAGATCCCTCCAAGGTCAGAGCAGCATCCACAGAACAGTCCAGATTTGGAAGAGTCCGCAGAGCTGGGGCAGAGAGAAGGATCCCTTAAAGAATCTTCAGTCAGCCGGTCAGTTGAGACCAAAGGGGAGACCACCCTCTCCTGACTTTTCTTGCTTGGGGAGGAAGGTGCTACTGCAGAGAACGATTGAGGAGGAATCCCATGACTGAGAGAGAACACATGAATGTGTGCTCCGTGTGTGTACGGTACTGAGAGGATTCAGTGTGTGCTCCGTGTGTGTACGGTATTGGGAGGACTCACAGTGTGTGCTCTGTGTGTGTACAGTATTGAGAGGACTCAGTGTGTGCTCCATGTGTATACAGTATTGAGAGGACTCAGTGTGTGCTCTGTGTGTGTATGGTATTGAGAGGACTCACAGTGTGTGCTCCGTGTGTGTACAGTATTGAGAGGACTCACAGTGTGTGCTCCATGTGTGTACAGTATTAAGAGGACTCAGTGTGTACTCTGTGTGTGTACAGTATTGCGAGGACTCAGTGTGTGCTCCGTGTATGTACAGTATTGGATACCTATGTTCTTGAGTAAAATAGCTAGCTCATTCCCCCAGGAGTATACACCAAGAGCTAGTGAGAGGAACAGACACCAGGGCTAAGGAGGGTCAGGAGTAGCCAGAGGGAATGGCCTCCTGGAACAGCTGCCTCATTCACCAGGAGATCAGAAGAACAGGATGCTGCCCAGCTACCATGACTGAACACTTTTGTCAAAGACTCCTCATAAATGAGGTCGATCAGAGCAGAATTTCGAATTCACTGGAACTCCAGACTTTCTGGAGACATGGAGGCTGAATCATACAATTCTTTTTGATGTAACCTTTGTGCTGCCTTATCTTTTACTACCTTGATTAAGGATTTTGCTCATATGAATTTAATATGACATTTTTGTTTGTGGAATACTAGAACATCTATTTCCTTATTTAACTAGAGCTCTTTTCCTTCCACATATGTGTTTTAACTATTCTTGTTCAATTCTAATGTATAAAAGATCTCTCACAGCTATATCATTAAAGTTTAAATCTCTTTCACTTTGCTCAGGATGGCCAAAGATATGAAGAGTCTTGTCTTTTAGAGTGATGAGATTGAGTATATATCGTCAAGTTAAATACAAGGGGACTTCAAAAAGTTATTGGAAAAATTCCATTATCTTTTAATTCATGTATGCTTCTGTGTAGTCTAGGAAATCAGCACAGAATTCACCATGAACTTAATGATGCATCAGGGCTGCTCATTTGCTTTGTCTTTCTTAAAGACCTGGTCTCTGGCAAGGGCCAAAGAAGAAAGAGCAGCTTGAATCGAAGACAGTTCTCATAAAGTGCTGGGATCATTCACTATATCCCACTATATCAGGCAGGGACAATGGTGTAGCTGACTCTGCTTCCATATCTATTTGGTCCAGCAACAGCCTGTTCCTGGGGATCTCATTAGACAGCTGGACCCTTTAGTTCTTCTAAGCAGAAGTTTCTTGCCCTGTTCAGGAGCCACTACAACCTTAGACCTTATGGCCTGGTGAGCCGGATGGGCTGCTGAGGCAGCTTCTGTGTATGGGGCCACATGCAGTAAGATCAAAGATTGAAGTTCTCTCCAGGTCTTGTGAGCAAAAACTGAGGGGGTTCAGATGCACTGTGATCAGTAAGGAGCTGTGAAACTGAAAGAAATGTCTCTAAACTGTGGTTTAGTAATAATAATAAAATTCCAGCAACTATTTCTATTGAAAATAAGATTACAAATTGTTGTCCTATGAAGAGGTGATCAATATAAGGAAAAATGTCTTTCAGAGGTGAATCAGGCAGTAAATAAATAATTATATTTTCCCTGCATAATATGATGTTTTCTGTTTGTCAGATTTAAAGAATTTGTAATTAGTTGTGATTTCATTTTTCATTATTTTCATAACATTCTTGCCTAATTTTACTTAAAGAGGGTTCTCCAAATTATATATGCTTCAGGTCTCATAAAATCTGTGTCTCCTTCTGTTCACTGAGTGAACCACATTTATCCTAGACCTTGTTTTGGGTTATTTTTCCAAATAAGGGATGGGTTGTCTTGATTTCCTTCTTGTGACATTTCCTGGACAATTATTCAGAATTAAGAAATAATGTCTTGGAATAGTTTTTCCCTGTGTAACTCATAACTAGCTTGTTTAGAAGTTAAACTTCTGGTCTTAGTCTAATTGTTATTAATATCATTTTCTGATCAGCTGATACAACTAACTTAAATTAAAATAGATAGTAAAAGACTGCAACAGATTCATTAGAAGACTAAATACTAAGCTATAGGAAGCACAGTGGCTCTCTAAGATAAGTATTGGACTACTACCCACAAGGTCAGTGGTTGGAGCCCACCAACTGCATCATGGAAGAAAGATGAGGTTTTCTGCTCCCGAAAAGATTTATAGCCCCGGAAACTGTATAGGGTGGGTCACTGTGAGTTGGAAGGGACTTGATGGCACTTAACAACAACAACATAGTAAGCTGTACACTAAAAATGCAAAATTTCTAATCAAACAACTATCTACCCTGTCTCTATTTTCATGTTATAGCTTTAAAAAAATATACTTCATAACCTTGGACTCCAAGTTGGGATGCCAGGGTTCTATGGGTTCTGCATTGTTCAGTAACTTGGTATATAATTTCGGGTAATTTACTTCTTCTCTAAGGCTGAATTTTCTCATTTGGAAAGAGAAATGATAATATATTGTATGGTTGTTGTGATAGCGTGCTTGGAATTTCTAACTAGTTGATAGTTACAAAGTTTATTATAAACAATACATTGACATATAAGTTCAAGTTTTCATTATTTTTTAAATAAGAAAAATAATGTAAAAACAAATATTAATTTTTTTCCTTTTTTCAAAAAATAACTATTACAGCTCTAGAGATGGCAACAAAAATATCAACTTGAAAACTTGGGAAAGAGATAATTTTAAACCTCAGTGCAAAAGAACAAACCTCTTGTCAAGTGATGGAATAAATTCTTGTTCAATGAGCTTGGGAGCTCAGCAGAAGCAATTAAGACTACTTAACACCCCCACGACCACCACCAAACATTCATCAAATGTATCTTACTCCACAATGAGAGCTAAAGATAGTAACAGTACATTACAGGGATTAAAGTCCAAATTTCAACAAAATCAATTTAAGAAAAAAATGTTGGATGATACTCCAGAAGACAATACTCTCAAGGTAAAATTCTGAATATAAGTTAATATTTTATTTACATTTAAAAAATGTGAGGTAAATAAATATTTAGAAAGTTACAGAGATAAGAGCATTTGAAACCAATTCCATGGCATGTATTACATAATTAGCACAAACATCTGATCCTGTTATTGTGGAGGAAAATTTGTTTCCCAAAAACTTTTTTCTTTGTGGGTGTGAACTGCTGTTCTTTTAAAGTTGCTTTAGAATTTGCTACTGGCTTCCAATTCTCACTATTAATTATTGAGATGATGGCAGTTTATCCATTGGTAGCAGAAAATATTCAAACTCTTCATAAGGCATTTTGAGTTTTTTACAACAAGGGTCATCAAACTTTTTCTGTGAGACATTAAAAAAAAAAAGATTTTCCACATTGTAAATCTTTCTGGCTTTGTGGGCCACAACAATATGTGTTGCAACTACCATATTTTATCACAATAATGTGCTCATGGAAATAATGTTCCCACACATACAACACGTGGCATAGTGAGGTTATAATAATAACGCTGCAAGGGGTTGTGCGTTTGGAAAGAACATATAGTGTGCATTATTTATGTAGAAGTATGGTACTCAGCTGTACCATTCGTCTCTGCTATAGCTCAAAATCAGTCATTTGTTGTTGTTGTTGTTAAGTGCCGTCGAGTGGGTTCCGACCCATAGCAACCCTATATAGGATTTCTGAGGAGCGGCTGGCGAGCTTGAACCGCCGACCTTCCAGTTCAAACGGCTTTGCAGTCTGGCGCATTAAGTCACAGCGCCACACCAGGACTCCCAAATAGGTAATATATAATTGAATAGGCATGGCTGTGTTTCAATAAAAGTTTGAAAAAACAGAAAGCAGGGTATATTTGGCTTGTAGACTGTAGTTTGCTAACCTCTGCTTTATAATCTGGTCCTACCCTACCTTTTAAGGAGCTCTGGTAGCGTAGTGGTTACGAATCAGGCAGCTAATCTCATGGTCAGCAGTTCGAAACTACCAGTTGCTCCGTGGGAGAAAGATGAGGCTTTCTGCTCCCGTAAAGATTTACAGCCTCGGAAACCCTGTACGGGGTCACTATGAGTCGGAACCGACTCCATGGCACATAACAACAACAATAACCCTACCTTTTGGACTTCTGGTGTGGTGCTATAGGATCAGCACTGGACTGCAAACACCACAAGGCCAGCAGTTCAAACTATACAGGGTTGCTATGAGTCGCAACTGACTCAATAGCACTTAAAAACAAGAAGGTTGGAAAGGTTGTTGTTGTTGTTATGTGCCGTTGTGTTGGTTCTGACTCATAGCAACCCTGTATAGTGTTTCTTAAGAGCAGCTGGTAAGCTTGAACCACCAACCTTGAGGTTCAAACCAACTTTGCAGTCCAGCGCATTAACCCACAGCACCACACCAGGATTCCTTTCCAGCCTTGTATTTCATATTTTACTACTTTTCCAGTGGTCCAACCATTTCATGTCCTTCACAGTTCTCTAAAAATAGCATAAACGCTAATATGTCAGTGGTTTATATTCTTTCCTATACCTACCTTATTTTCTTTCTTTGTACAGTATTCTCATTAATATTATGTATTATGTGCCATGTTGTTGTTGTTAAGTGTCATCAAGCCAATTCTGACCCATAGTGACCCTGTATATGGTTTCCAAGGAGCAGCTGGTGAACTTGAACCACTGACCTTGCAGTTCAAATGATTTGCAGTCTGACGCCAGGACTTCATTATGTGCCATTGCTCTTCTCTACTTCCTCTTTGTCAGCGCTTGACAGAGAGGATATAGAGAATAGATTCTTCACCTTCATCCCTTCTCTGTGCTCTGGGAGGCTGAATCATACTACATACTGCATCATCCTGGAAATTCTTACTTATTGGCTTCTGGTAAGGATTAGTCAATGGAAGTCAATGGCAGGACATCAAAAGGTGGGAGGAGAGACTGAGTTTTCATACTCCTTTCTTGCTTGAATGTTGTGTTTCTGTAAGTAGCTACAACCTTGCGCAGACCTTCCCTTGTCTTTTTAGCCTAGGAGTGGTAACAACTTCTTACAGTTGCTAGTTAACCACATAGGATGTTTAACCATCCTGTGCTTGTTCTTGTAACTCTGTTCATATGTCCATGAGCAGTCTTTTCAATACTGTTCCTGTTAGTTGCTGTCCAGTTAACTTTTGACTCCTAATAACCCATGTGAGAGAGTAGACCTACTCCAGAGGGTTTGGGCCGTAATCTTTACAGGAGCACATTGTCAAGTCTCTTACTGAGCTCCTAGGTGGATGCAAATCCTCAACCTTTTGATTAGCAGCCTAGAGTCACCCATCTGGGAGTAAATTCTGGTTGTTACTGGAAATATGACTAACAGCATATTGTGGTTTTCAAAATGATGCTTTTAGCAATAGTGGTTCATTATGGCCATACTCCTCAATGGGAAGCAGATTACAATCTTGGGCAGGAGGAGGAAGGAAAGCATTTGTAGTTTGAAAAGATATTCCATAAATGTCCTAATATGGTGCTGTAGGATAATCACAGGACTGTTTCCTACACCAGGTCATCAGTTCAAATATATCAATTGATCCCCAGAAATGCTATACAACGTCTCTATGAGTCACAACCAACTTGATGACACTTAACAACAACAACAACAAGAAGAAGATGTTCTTTGCTGATCGAGACCTCAGATAAGCTAAGAATTACTAAAGAAGAAGAATAAAATATGAGATCTCTTGTTTCCTGATCTCAAAACCTACTGCACAGCCAGAGTAGTCAAAATAGTCTAGTATTTTTGGTACAAGGAAGACACATAGACCAATGGAACAGCATTGAAAATTCAGTAGTAAATCCATCCACGTAGTCAGCTGATATTTGGCAAAAGGCCAAAATGCATTATATGGAGAAGACATACTGATGAAACTGGATATCCATTTGCAGAAGAATGAAACAAGATCCATAGAACCTTAAGGTCAGCGGTTCGAAACTACCAGCCGCTCCGCGGGAGAAAGATGAGGCTTTCTACTCCCGTAAAGATTTACA